AGCAGTACATCATGAAGGCGTATGAGGGTATGTATGTATAGATCCGTGTTTTCTTGATCTTGGTACTAGTTGGAGGTGAATGGTCAGCTTCAAGCCCCGGCCACTTTACCACCGGGGACAGAGCCCCCGCTACCAACTGAATAGGAGATTGGGTGGACCCCAGAACCGGTCTGGACGACATAGCGAAAAGAAAATTCTTGACCCTACCGAGACCCGAACTCCGACCCTTCGGTCGTCCATCCTGTAGCCAGTAGCTCTCCCGGCTCCATGGTAGGATGAGAGCAGTTAATAATTTGGGAGTCATGTTGAGGGGAAAAGTTGTGGCACAATTTGAGGTTTCTGTTCCGGTACTTGAAGGAACCGAGGAAAAGCACGAAAATTTTCAGCCAGGAGAGTTGATGTCCGCGCTGGGATTTGATGTAGGATCTCCCAGTTCTAAGCAGCATCTCATCACTACGGCTCCCATAGCCACAATACGCCGTTTCTAGGCGAAACCTCAGCACAACAACGGCCCATCCTCATGCAGCAAGTCGCTGCTAGGGAAGCGAGCTCACCTCAGGGCACTCACGAATGTCACGGCGTGTTGCCTACCTGCCCAGGGAAATGTACCGGTCCGGCAGCGCAGGTGGCCTCTCTGTCTCTCTCTTGCTCTCGTTAATCTCCCTATGTCTTTTCATCTGTCTTTCGTTTCTCTCACTTTTCATCTTGTTGCCCTACTCTCTCCTCCTTGCGTCTTACTGCTGGGTTATTGATTCGAGAGGCGGTCTCAGACACCGTCCATAGCTTCCTTCTGCTTCATTGCATTGCCACTGTTCTCTTTCCTTTAAGTCTACTTACTGCTCTATCATTTTTTTCAGTTTCTTGTCTTTATCTATGAACTAATTCCATAGAGCTTAGTCATTCCAGAGAAACTAATAGTTGCTTACTCACTCAAGAAATTCCCAGAATTTTATGGAACCAAAATGTTCATTACCATGTTCACAAGAGCCATCCATTGGACTACCCCTGAGCCAGGTGGAACCAATCCACACCCCAGTCATATTTATTTAAGATCCGTTGTAATACTATTATGGCGTACAGACCCGTTGCTAAGTAACGACCTCGAAACATATGATTACAGCCATTTATAGGAGAATAAAGAAGCGGCCGTTTATGAGCAACGGCTCGGCAAACACGTTCCCGCGGAAGCGATATCCGGGCTATAGCTATGCAAGAGCCCATAACAAACTAGAAAATCTGTCGGAGGCGGCGTTTTCTGCTAGATCCGCCCCGAGGCTCTAAAGAGAGGACCCCAGAGAATGAGTGAGTTCAGTTGCGGGATATTTGCCGGACAGTAAAGACGTGAGTGCAGGAAGCTGAAGAATCTTCACTGTTAGAAGCCTTTGCTAGGGAACGGCTGTTAGCGACATTTCAGTTATTTGTAAAGTGTGGAATTAGCGATAGCGCTGATTACTTGTAGTTCCGAGAGGTATGTATAAGTGGTCAATAAATCCATTTACCAATTGATACCCCGTCTATAGTCAAACACCCTAAATGGTGCTAGTATTATTCCAGCTATGTCAAGGTCTTCCTAGCGATTTTCTTTACTTCAGGTTACTTTACAGAAATTTTGAATGCACTTCTACTCTCTCCCATGCGTGCCACATGCCCTGTCAATCACATTCTTCTTGGTTTGATCATTCTAATATTTCAAATTATAAATTTTCTAATGCAACTTCTTGCAGAGAACCATTATTTAATTCTGTTTTCATCTACACCTGGTTCCATAATCGTTGCATTTATGTAACGTTTCTTTGGTTCAACCTTTATATTTCTGTCTTTCTTTCTATCCTTCCGCCTGTCTCTATTGTCCACCTTACTATTAGTTTCTCTTTCTCTCTTTCATTGATGTGTTCACAACACCATTTGCAAAATGCGTCTACTAAATTTGTTACAGGCAGGAAGCTCGCGGGTTCGATTCCGGATGAGGTTATTAGATTTTTCAATTTCTCTAATCGTTCGAGCCGTACTCTGGCCCTGGGGCCGTATGTAACAGCGATAAATACATTGCTCTATGCTTGGAGTTTCTGCAGCTTCTGTACAATTTAAGCATGATACCATCTGATGATGGTTATACTTTATAGTCGAAACAAGTTGCGGAACTGACTATATATACTTTAAAGAAGGAAATATTATGTGAAATTTTTGTAGTAAATCATTTGTAGTTGGTACTCTTGAAGATGTGTACCTTCCGGAATATAACGCCTTGTATTACGTTGAGAGTCAACCGACGTTTCGGAGTAACATGTCGCTTGCATATTCAGGGTCGATGAATAAGGTAAGAAACGAGAATGAAGGAGGTAGCTGATTACACAGCGTTACATTCCAGAAGATAGAATTCTTCTTAACCACCGGTGTCAGAACCTCAAATCCTACAATACATATTCTTGTTTCAACTTTGTTTGGAACTGGAAGTACGTCATTTGTAATATAACTTTTGTTGCTAGAGGGAAGTGCATTCTTTTAACTTCAAAGAGTCTTGTTGAACTCTTGACTTCCTGTCAACAACCACAGCTATGTCTACAGATCTGACTTTGTTTGTTCCACTGAGAGCTCTCGAGACATCTGTAACGAGGACTGCGTGTTGTGAACGTCACATCAGTACAAATATTTACGTAACTTGGAGAGGAAAAAAGAAATATGTTTCGTAAAACTGGGACATGAAGCGGGGTTTATCTCAGTCAGTATAGTGACTGTGCTACAGGCTGGACAACCGAGGAATTAAGGTTCGATTCCCGGTAGGAATAGGGGCTTCTTAACAAGAAGCAAATCGGTTCTAGAACCCACACAGACTCCTGTCCAGTGATCACAAGGGGGCTGTAACCCTTAGCGTGAAGCGTCCGGGGTGTGAGGATGACCACTCGCCTACACCTAGAGCTAAGGCTAATAATGCGTGGAGCTATGCCTCCATTACAACATACTGTGGAATATTTCCTCAAATGAAGAACTGTGGAGCCAGAGAAACAGCTGTTGCTAGCGGATACTCATCCAACAATAGTTACTGCTGGAAACAATGTTCTCTATTCGGTCCGTGCAAAGGGTTTATAAAGAAGACAACTGGGGGCAAACCCTTATTCTCGTCAGAGAGGATCTTACATAAGGACTATTACCGCAAAATATCAGTAGAAAAAATCTCTGGTCGTGAGTCTCAAGGGGCTTGACGCCAGGACAAACTGATCGGCGGTAAACCGCCAGACGTAAAATAAAATAAAGTAAAGTAAAGTTGTGTATTGATTTGTCAAAACATCTAAAAGTACTACAGTAAGTTTTATACAAAGTAGTGCACAATATTTGCTCTAATCTAGAGCCAGTTCGGTTCGTGTCATTACACTTCTCAATGTACAGCTTAGCGTTAGTTGAAAAATATAACATTTATATCCATACATGGTTATAGTAGTTTCAGTATATATTGATAATGTCCTTCTGAAGATGGTCGCTCCGACCGAAACATGTAAAGGCTGAATAATTAAAAACACAACACTTATCAATCACACTTGCCGCGCCATAGCTCAAGCGGTTAGTCGCTGGCTTCCCAACTCGGCCGCCCGGGTTCGATCCCGGGTCCGGTCAAGTGGGATTAGTGGTGGACAAAATGGTGCTGGGGAGGGTCTTCTCCGAGTACTTCGGTTTCCCCTGCCAATTTTCATTCCACCAAATTCTCCATCATCATAATAAACCGGGGAAGGTACAATAGGCCAATCAGTGGCCGCCGTGCCGAGTGGACCCAGCTGGACTCCACTCCCCACTAAGCGAATTAAAAAAAATTATCAGTCACACTGGACGGTGGTTAAATTCTTATATACATTTGATTTTATATTTATGTGTGTAAGTTCCATTAATATCATTCACTATCATTTTTTCACATAATTCGACGTTAAATAACCTATTCAGCTGAAATGGAATCGTTAGGTTACCAAAGACTCCAGTCATGATAACGAAAGCCTCTCATTTCACGCTCAGACCGCTAATTTCGCTGCTGGCACAGTAACTAGCAGTGAAACGCCGTGTTTCCGCGGCAACTTCTCCGACACTACTGCTATGCGTTTAGTGGAACGCACTATTGCTAGGGGTTATTCCAACTTCGTAATTGATCGCGTCACTAGGTTCCTGGCTCAGGCGGATTCTAGTTCGATAGAATGGAAATTACAGTTGACTATCGATGTATGTGTGTTCCCTAATATTGTGTCTGAATAAAGCCTATCAGATTCAGATGGAAGTTCTATAGGGAGTGTAAAAAAAATGTACTGCAACTGCAGACCGGGAATGAACACATCTCCACTTAAAACATGGGACTCAATGGAAATTTAAGATTCGCGTTACATAATTACACAACAAAGATACAGTTTCAAGAATATACGCCTTACCTAACGCGGGGGTGACATAATATTATAAAAAACCTATCATCATCATCCTTGGCAAAACAGCCATTTTTGAGCCATGGCCTTCCTTAGAAGATGCTGCCAGATTTGATCCGGTTTTCACTTATTTAGAACTTGCAATATTTTATAGAGGACGGCCGTCAACCCTGTGTCCAATCCCCAGCCTGGTGGAACTGGCCTCTGTGACTTTTAAAACTTAACCAAGTTTTGAAAAAATCACTTGGTTTAGACGAACCCTATGTGGATGCGTGTTATGGTACCTCCACCGTAGCCCTGCAAGTTCATAGAAGGCGACAAAAAGGGAACCCTGTGCCTGGGGATAATAAGTACAGGGACCTGGCACTCCAAGTTGGGGGTTGGACGCAAGGCTGACAACCTTGCTCTGTAAAAAAAAATTGTTGCTAAATCGAAAGAAGTGAAAACCGGATCAAATTTAGCAGACATTTCTAAGGAAGGGTTCGGCTCAAAAATGGGCTGTTTTGCTAATGATGATGGTGATTATTTAGACAAATTTCAGTACAATTGAACACCCAAGTGTGCAATCATAGTCATGAAGTCAGGATGTTATGGTGGCTGTTATAGAGGATCATGGACTCGGCGGAACAAGCGGCGTTGTCTCATAAGCTGGACGCCGGAACGGCGGTACGTTACTACAATGCGCGCCGCCTCAACGAGTTTGGTCCGGACGGTCGCCTGCAAGATGGATCGAAGGAGATGAGCCTCACGCAGAACAGACATTTCGATCAGCTGGCCGTGAACACCAGCCTCAGCTCTGTGCTGCTACCGCCTGAAGTTCGCGACTCAGGTGACTGCTTCCGTTAGTACGCCGCCATGTTGATTTCATTCTGCATGATTCTAGAAGGCCGTGAAAATACACCATGGCGCCTGAATAACAGCTGATTTCCCTGCCAGTAGTTCTAAATTTAGTTAATTTTGTTTCCTCCTGCAGTCAGCCCTCTATTAAATCAAATTTTTTCCTTAGCTTACTAGAAGTTTAAATTGGAGTTTGACTTCATTTATTACCTAACTATATACAGTAGTCTTTCAAGTTGTTCAGAAATTGCCCTTCTGTTACATAACCTAAAAGTCCATTACTCTGTTGGCTACAACCCGCCACCTGACCCTAACCTAAGCTCTTGAACCCAGTTTATAAATTCAAAACCTATTTCCCTAAAAGGCGTCTCTCTATGCGTAGACCTATCAATCGACCTATTCCCTTTACGATTTCAGACCAAAATATTACGTGCTACATGTCCTGCCCATAACATTCTTGTTTCGATCACGCCACTAATATCTGATGAAAATTGGAAATTATGAGGTAGCAAGTGACTACCTGCTTCAGGTTCATTTCTTGTTTAGCTTATTCAATCCTGAAGATAGAGGCGAAATATTCCGCCGAAACGACTGTTGTCTATCAACGGACTATACGGCACTACACTATACTCCTGTAAGATTCTCAAAATTTGCATTGCTAACCATGTTTATACGTGTATTTTCCGAACCGCGAAAAAAAATGTTAACTGAAGATCTTGCATGTAGCATGAACTCAAGTAAGAGCTCAGAAGTAGAACCTTTGAGAACCAAGCAGTCTATTCGAAATAATGGTTCTCTGAACATTACAAATGTGAAGCTGGCCCCTTCTTGAGAAGCCGTCAGTCGCCCAGCTAGTCAAGAATTTCCCCATATTTTATGGAACCCGAAGTTTTATTACTGTTTTCACAAGAACCCTGCATTGGTCCATATTCTGAGCTAGATGAATCTAATCTGTACCATACCATCCATTTTAATATTATCCCCTCCCTGCGTCTAGGTCTTCATAGCGATCTTTTTCCTTCCGGGTTTCCCACCAAAATCCTATATGCGTTCGCTTCAGAATAAAGAAACAGTAATTTTGTTTTAAGATTATGCAGTGTGTTCTGGGATTTGACGCCGTGAAGTCTGGTGTAGTCTTCACGGCGTTACATCTTCACATCCATAGGTGCAAGGGCTTCCATAGTGTTCCTTGTTTTCTTAAATCCCTCTGCTGCAGTTGCTTTAGCCAATTATATTCCTCCTTCCTCACCTGTTTCATCTTCCTCCTCCATCTTGCTGTATTTCCCCTTCCACACCCTGATTCACAGAAATGCGTGTTCGAGATCTGAAAGGTTAATTATATACAGAATGCCATTCGCGAAGTAGTTCTGATATTGAAACCAAGAGGTTTTGTCTCTGTCATGAATTATGCTGCCGAATTGGGTTTGAGGCTTTTGTAATTGCGTAATGAAGAGCCAGGGAGCAGTTCCGTCGCTGTCATTTGAAGCAGGGGAAGCACAGAGAACATGAATAACATGGAGGAAGTGGCGATGGTTCATCAGTTCTGAATCCAATTATCTGTCTTCAGGCGAATTTCAAACCCAGTTCTTATTTCGTAATTGGGAGCCCTCCGGCTCCGAGGCTGGATATCCTGACGCACATTTCCCACGAGCTAAACCCAAAGTGGTTACGAGTTCAATATGGCGTAATATTTCTAATTTATTTCTTCTTCTCTTTTTTTGGCTCCACAGCCCTCAGAACAACTTGGCCCTTTTGATGATGCATTCCCATTCCCCTGTATTAAGTTGCTTTATTTGTTAATTAGTGAATTAGTTTGGTAGTTATTTGATCTATTAATTAAATAACTAATTTGTTAGTTTGTTTAGTATATTTAGTTGATTATTTTATTCATTTATTAGTCTGTTGCTTTTTAATTATTTCGCCAGTTAATTTGTTAATTTATTAATAAGTTACTTGTCTTGTTTGTTTGTTAATTTGTTGATTTATTTGTGAAGTAGTTCATTGGTTTCTTAATTAGTTACTTAGTCACTAGTTGGATAGTTAGTCGGCCGTGCCATGTCTGAAGCAACAGTAAACACATTCTCACCTATAACGTCCGGCCTAAACCCAGTAAAGTCAATGTGAACAAAGTGTAACTGAGCTGGTTTTGCTCCGTATCTTCCACCAAAAGTACGTACTCATCCGTCACTGCCCTTATTATCAGGGGCTGGAAAATCAGACCCATTTGTTCCCGCAGTACGAAGAAACTCAATCCCATCCTACTGCTGTCACCTCTAGCTAGCCGCTTGGTTGGTCTGTTAGAAAGCCAGTTAGTCACCTAATGACCTCACTCATGGAGCTGAGTCTTTCTGGAGGAGCTTCCAATTCTGCAGCTACTCAAGAACTTCCCAGCATTTTATGGAACCCGAAGGTTCATTACCGTGTTCACAAGAGCCTTTCACTGGTCCCTATCCTGAGCCACATCAATCCAATTCATACCATCCCATTCTATCTCTCTAATATCTAATTTAATATTGTCCACCCATCTACCCCTTGGTCTCCTCAGTGGTCTCTTTCCTTCTGGCTTTCCCACCAATATCCTATATGCATTCTTCGTCTCCCCCAATCGTGCTACATGCCATGCCCATCTCATCCTCCTTGACTTGATCATCCTACTTATACTTGGAGAAGAGTACAAGTTACACCCAATTACTTAGGCAGTTAATATAGTTGTTTGTTAGTTATTTAGCCAGATATTCAGGTAATGAGTTTGCTGATTTATTAGTCCTTAGTTTGTTAGCTAGTTGGTTAGTTAACCTTTAAAGGGTACATATTATTCTTACGCATTTGATTACATAATCAGACTGTCAGTCATTTAGTTAATTGTTAGTTACGCAATTAAATAGCTGATTAGTTATTTTCTTAATATATCAGTGATTTGCTTAATTAGTTAATTTGTCTGTCGTATAGTTAGATAATTAGCCGGTCACGGTAGCCGAGCGGTCTAAGGCATGCACTGTCTTCGCTCGCTAGGAAGCCGGGATCGTGGGTTCGAATCCCACTCAGGGCATGGATGTTTGTGTGCGTTTTTCTGTGTTTGTCTACAGATAGAGGCCTTGCAACGAGCTGATCACTCGCCCAAGGAGTCCTACCGAATGTGTAAGATCTAGTAAACCGAAGTGAAACGGAGAGTTTCATGGAGGTAGGCCTAGGCCCAAATTGGGGCTGTAGCGCCACAGAAAAAAATAGTTAGATAATTAGAATAATAATTACTTAGCTGTTTATTTAATTAGTTTTTAGTTATATTCCAAGCAATTAGGTAGGAAATTAAATCATTATTTTCTTAGTATGTTAGTTACTTAGATATCATATTGACTGACTGATTAGCTTTGTAGCGATTTAACTAATTAGACTGTTAATTACTGACGGTCACAACAGCCGCACGGTCTAAAGCATGAATTATCATCGCCCGCTCGGAGGCCCGGATCGCTTGTTCGAATCTCACACAAGGCATGGATGTTTAATATGTGTAAGTGTTTATTCTGTGTTTGTGTATAGGTAGAGGTCTTGCGACCAGCTGATCACTCGTCCAAGGTGTCCTACCTTCTGCAAAATGATCATGAAACTGAAAATGAGAGGCCAGGGCCCAAGGGGGCTGTAGGTAGCCAGACAGTTAGATAGTAACTGAGTTTGGTAGTTATTCAGCAAGTTGGTCTTTCCTTCAGCGGTTAGACAGTTCTGAAAGTCTGAAGGTCGAGATGAGCGATCTGCAATTCAACTGCTTGTTGCAGACCCGGAAGTTCTGAACGCCATCAAATGGTCAGAGCACCTGGATCCGCTTTTCGTCAACAACTACGAGATGGACCCATCACTCTCCTGGCAGTACTTCGGCAGCACCACGGGTTTCCTCAGGAGATATCCCGGTAAGTGCACTGAGCCATCTTTTGCTTTAAATTAATTTCCAGACTTCTTACCGTTAAGCTGGATTACATCAATCGAAGTGTCTGGTTTAGAAAAAAGAATAATTGTGTTAAAACAGGGGATCCTTTTCGTTTACTCACAACCCAGACACGATATGCAGTACTTACACGAGTTCAGGATTCATGGAACTCTTGCAAAGAGGTATTTTTCATGAAAATGAGGACAGATGACGACAGCGGACTACTTTGGGCGAATACATCAACCGACAGAATTAATAATAATTCCAACCAGCATATACGTTTCAGTGTCGACGCTACATATCTCCGATGATAAAATTATTGTAACGGATTTGATCAACGTGTTGCCAGGTAACAGCTCTGTAAACACGGGCCAAAATGCAACAATAGACGAAGCTGTGTTTTCTGTAGATCCGACCGACGTGCCAGTAGACTGGCTGGATAGCGATCGCGTGGTATGAGTTTACTGTTGTTTCATGTCCGTTCCGGGACTATATAAGTAAGAGTGACAGAATTCGTTGAGGGCAGTTACGAGTCAGTCGTAAGCTGGAGGAGTAGTTAGTTAGTTATTGGAGAGGGTGGGTTTCCCCACGCACTTAGAGCAGTATTGGTCCATTGCTCTCCCTCTATGATATGCTACCAGTCTCTATACCCTACCGATATTGGTGCGTACCATCAGTCCCGACCGAGCCAGCGAGTTCGGCCTCTACTGGCTTGGCGGTATCTATAATGCTTCCCCCATCTATCAGAGGCGTTAGAGACTACTGTTGGGCGGGAAATGTCCTTGAATTTGGCTCAGTGACCTCCTTTGGAGATATGAGGTTCTTTTACGTGCCGTAAAGCTACGACACGGGACCCACAGCTTGAGGAGTAAGTCCAGAAGAATTTATTGTTCCAAGGTTCCAGAGTGATTGAAGACGAAATAGCAAGAAGACTTCATAGTGACTTGAAGTGATAGTTCCTGTGTTGAGATCTGTTGCTAGGAGACGACTGGTGACGACTGGGAGTCCTACTGCGTGTGCAACGGTGACCTGTAAAGTGTGTAAATCAGCGATATCGCTGTATTTAAGTGTAATTAAGAGAGTGTAACCAAAGTACTAATAAATCTAATCATCCGAACTAGCACCCATTATTTTCGTCACGCGTACCAACCGAAATGTGATACTGTTAGTATATTGAGCTGTTGGTGGAATGAAGATTGGCACGTGAAATCGAGGTACCGGGAAACCCGTCACAATGTAATTTTGTCCACCAGTCCCGGCACAGTGTGTTGCATAATCTCACATGACACCATAATGATTTATTTTATGGAGAGGAATAAAAAAAATTAAACTAGTGATTAGGCTGCATAACATTTTCTTGGGCATGGACATGGAAAGTGAAACCACTTTTTAGCAGACATCTAAAGTTCATCTTCTGTACCAGCGTTGAAATCTCCAAGCATGCGTACAATACGGATGTTATACCCGTATACGCGTTCTAACATTTAATTAGAAACAGCCATGATCCTACCCGTATTAGTTCTGTTTCAATTACAACCCCTGAACTAATTATGGAACGCTATCATTCTTGACAACCTGATAGTTGCTCAGCTAGTGAAGGAATTCCCCAGTGTTTTATGAAATCCGAAGGTGATTATTGTGTTACAAGAGTTCGCTATTGGTCCCTATCCTAAGCCAGATGAGTTAAGTTCATGCCTTCAAATTCTATACGTTTAAGATTAATTTTGATATTATCTTCCCGTTTAAGAGTAGGCCTTCTCAGTTCTCCTACCAAGACTATGTGGGGCGCGCAGTAGCGTAGTTGGTTGAGGCACTTTGCTACCAGACTGAAGGTCGCGGGTTCGATTCCCGATGTTCTCATTGGATTTTTTTAAATGATATAATTCTTCCAGTCGAACTATGCTCCTGGGGTCGACTCAGCGTCTAACAGAAATAAGTACCAGGAATCTTTCGGGGGGTGAAGGGCAACCGGCGCATAAGGCTGACAACCTCACCATGTGTGCGCCGATTTTCCAGAAAATGTGGGAACCTCGACGGCTCAGAAGCCTATGGGCCTCCACGGCCTGTTACAGGGATAGCTTTACCTTTTTACACACGCTTTATATGCCCTGCCAATCTCATTCCCCTCGGTTCGATCTAATAAGAATATTAAAACAATTTTAATATGCTTTCAAACCTCTCTTGTCTGAAAAAGCACTCAAAGGTCAGTCGTCAACCGTTTTCTTTATGTACTACATTTCACATTTCAACATCAGAGCAGTATCAGTACTCGAAGAATAGACATGACACACCGAAACGAAAGATTGCTCATTCGTTCTCGACCTACCACATGTAACTTCTTAATGGTCGAAATTCGTTGCTATGGTAACCCTAAACTGCATAATTTTCATTTCGCCGTTATATAATTCCATTATGTTACAGGAATTATTAGATTCTGTTTTCAGCACTCCATGGCAAAAAGAATCGCCATGAAGAGTTCTATCTTTTAGGATACAACGTCATATAGTCCGTTGAAATTTAAGCGACGTTTCGAAGGAACATGTCTTAATCTTCAGGTATCGAAGAATAATCCAAGCAAGAAACCAGCGTGAAATCAGGTGGAAAACAAGGCGTTATAACCGAAGATGATAGAACTCTTCATAATCACGGACGTGGGGGCCTCAGATCACACATAAATCACCATGCCGGTGTCCATACTTGGGACAGATATTGACGTGATTTTGAACCGACTGTTACAGCGATAAAATGGCCGCCTGACTATTCGTCTGCGAGGAGCGGGCAGGAGCTTCACGATTTCCGAACCAGCTCCTGGTACATAGACTCCGCGACGAGTCCCAAGGACGTGGTGGTCCTGCTAGACAGTTCGGGATCGATGAGTGGCGAGCGCAGGGAGATAGCAACAAGCGTTGTGAACGCAATCCTCGACACGCTCGGCGACAACGACTTCGTGAACGTGTACAGGTTCTCTGACGCAACAGAGGAGTTGGTGCCGTGCTTCAAGGACATGCTCGTACAGGTAATGCAACACGCAGTTAACCGGTGTTTGTGAATTATTCAGCTCGTGGAGTATCCTTATTCATCGCCCATAAATCGGTATAGCGCCTGGCTGCGAGCTGGACGTCTGAGAGTACACAGTTTGAGTCCCGGTAGGGGTAAGATTTTTCTCTTCTTCACGTTTCCAAGACCAGTTCCGGGGCCCATCCAGCCTCCTATCCAATGGGTAACGGGAGCTTTTTCCCCTGGGGTATAGCAGGTAATTAGTTAAGCACAGGGACAATTTATTTTTTTCCCTCTTTTGGCCCTACAGCCTCAATTTGGGCCTTGGCCTACCTCCATGAAACTCTCCATTTCACTTCAGTTTACTAGATCATAGACATTCGGTAGGACTCCTTGGATGGGTGATCAGTTTGTCGCAAGGCCTCTACCTATACACAAACACTAAACATCCATGCCTTGAGTGGGATTCGAGCCCATGATCCCGGCTCCCGATCGAGCGAAGACAGTGCATGCCTTAGACTGCTAGGCTACCGTGACCAGTCAGGGACTAATTTTACTTCTTTTTTTTTAATTCTCGATATATCGAACTATTCGTCAAATTTATCGCGTGCTTATAGAGCCGTATCTTGTAGAACGTGCAGTGGCTCAAATATTTATATGACATCCACCCCTCCCTGCATCTACATATAAAGTGATAAAAACATTACAAAACTTTCGGTATATCGGATGGACGACAGAGAGGGCAGCATTGAATTTCTGGGGCAGGGAAGGCATCTTCTTCTCTTCACAGAGTCCAGAATAGCTCTGAAAGCAATCAGCCTCATATATATCTGATACATGCTGTGGGCTCTATTGTTTGGATAAAGCGACAGGGGCGTGAAGCTGACTGTTTACCTCTATGTAATTACGTACTTACTTACTTACTCATGGAGCTGCCAGATCTGCAGCTACTCAAGAATCTCCCAGCATTTTATGGAACTCGAATGTTCATTACCGTGTTCACAAGAGCCCTCCACCGGTCCCTATCCTGAGCCACATCAATCCAATCCATATCATCCCATTCTATCTAAGATCCATTTTAATATTGTTCACCCACCTACGTCTTGGTCTTCCCTGTGGTCTCTTTCCTTCTGGCTTTCCCACCAATATCCTATATGCATTCCTCGTCTCCCTCATTCGTGCTACATGCCCTGCCCACTTCATCTTCCATGACTTGATGATTCTAATTATACTTGGAGAAGAGTACAAGTTACGAGGCTCCTCATTGTGCAGTTTTCTCCAACCCCCTGTCACTACCTCTATCTAATACGGAAGGTAAAATAGCGGAGCTGTACTTCCATTCCCTCATACGTCTTCATGGCATGATGATTAATTAAGCATAATAATAATAATAATAATAATAATTTAATTGTATCAACAGCCCTTATTTACCCAGTCCGTGCTACATGTCCTGCTAATATAATCTGATCTGATTTTATTCTTGAGAGAAACATTTAGATTATGAAGCTTCTCAAGACATAATTGTGTGCATCCCTAAAATATTTGAAATTTAAATAATTGTATTTAATTTATGAAATTTGATAAAAAAATATATTCTATTTCAGGCTAATATGGGAAATATAAGAGAACTAAGGAGTTACCTGGACTCAGCAAGAGCTGAGAACATAGCAAACTTCTCATCAGCACTTATCACGGCCTTCGAAATATTACACAAGGTTAGTACTTTACGTTAAATACAATTTAACTTCATGAATATATATATATATATATATATATATACGGTGTACAGTGGTTTCTCAGGGGCCTCGGATTGCGGAGGTTCCGTCAGACAAAGCCTTCACATGTTTCGGCCAATGATGATCATCACTGTCGACCAAGACTTATTTCATTATTAAAAAATTGTTGCATTCGATGAAATTTAATCCTAATTTTACTTATGCTATAGGATGAAACGGGGGCATGCTGTAGCGCAGTTCGTTGATGCACTATGCTACAAGCCCGGAAAGTCCCAGGTTCGATTCCCGATGAGGTTACTGGATTCTTCAATTGACCTAATCCTTCCAGTCGCACTATGGCCCTGGGATCGACTCAGCCTCCATTATAAATGAGAACCAGGAATCTTCCTGGGGGTTAAATGGGGGTGAGCGCGTAAGGCTGACAACCTTACCGCCATCTGTGAGCCAATTGTCCATAAAATGTGCGAGCCTCGACATTTCACATTCCTATGCAACTCCACGATCTGTTACAGGGATATATTTTCCTTCTCTAGCTTTTTATAGGATGCAATAGTTGAAAACAATGTCTGTCATAAAAATATTAACATACTCTTCCCAAAAAGTAAAACTTAGCCATGTAGCAAAGAAGTAAATATTCACAGCAGTTACGTTCACTAATTCGATACTTCGGCAGTAGTGCATATATCCCTGAAAAGGGAAACCAAGGGAAAGCTCTATAACACCGTACTGAAACCTGTACTTATATGTGTGTGTGTGTGTGTGTGAGCTGGATTCTCGCTAAAGGTTAAAGTAAAGTAAAAGTAAAGTTATCCCTGTAACAGGCCGTGGAGGCCCACAGGGTTGAGAGATGACAATCGGCTCATAGATGGCGGCGAGGTTGTCAGCCCTACGCGCCGGCCGCCCTTTACCCCCAACAATATTCCAAAAATATTCTTGGTACTCATTTCTGTTAGAGGCTGAGTCGACCACAGGACCATATTGCGGCTGGACGGATTACGTCAATTGGAAAAAAACATCCAATGACCTCATCGGGACTTGAAGCCGCGACCTTCCCGCTTGTAGCATAGTGCCTCAACCATCTACTTATGTAATGCCCCACAAATAGTGAAGGCTCTCAAACTGGGGAGGCTGAAGTGGTCAGGACACACAACCAGGGCAAACGAGACATCTCCCTTGCAGGAAACTAACTTCTTGCAAGTACGAAGGGACAAGAGGGGCCGGAAGACGCAGCCTAAGGTGGCTGGATAGTGCAGAGAAATGTCTCAGAATCCTGGGTGTAGGAGGTTGGATGGTCTCTCCCAAAATATAGACCGGATCTGGGGCCCATCCATCTACCTACACAGTGGGTACCAGGGGCTTATTACCTGGGAGGAAAGCATCTGGAGCAAGTAGCTGTCCGCTCACCTCTACCTAGTGTCAAGGCTAAGAAAGATGCAGTCATACCTCCACTCCCCCATACATATTCATGACACAGTACTTAATTAATTAAGCCTAGTATATATGTTACTTTTGGTATGGTTTTCAGACTAAACAGCTATTGTACTAAACATAATCAACGGACTGAGCTATGTAATGCAGATGTATTCACTGACACAAACTTAATTATTAGACAGTATGTTGAAGATTTTTTCCTTTTGCAAAGTTAAGGAGTCTTCCACAAGGGCCGGGATAGTTGAATCTGTATAGCAACGGGCTATGTGCTGGACGACCGAGGTTCGTTTCCTTTCAGGGGCAAATTAATCTTTTCTACTCCACAATAGGTCTGCTTTAGGACCAACCCAGCCTTCTGTAGGATAGGTACTGGGGGCTCTTTCCTCGGAGGGAAAGCGGCTGGGGCGTGGAGCTGGCCACTCATCCCCATCTCCTGCCGAGGTCAAGAATGGTGGATCTGTACGTCCACTCCCCCATATGTCTCCATGACATAGTGCTTAATTAATTAAGCACTGGTCCAATTTTGCCTATTTTAAATATATATTGAACCCCTGAAAGTTATACATTTTAGCGCGTATTGTAATATACTACAATTTGACAAGAACTATATATCTTTTTAAATCTCCAATCTCAATGTTAGTGATCAGCAGGGTGAAAAAAATTATGTTATGTAAATTGTTTTAGTTGCAAATTTATTGTAATACATTAAAATGACTTACGTTTATTAGTGTCTGCTTCTGGCGACAGATGTCAGTACCATCCAGGATGAATGCTTAAATATTTCTTGCCTCTTTTAAAATTCGTAACCACAGTTTGGTAAAATAGGAATCGGTTAAAATACGAAAATTGTGAGAAAAGCATAGTAGAAATATCACGAGAATTACAGAAATTGGCATACTTTTTCACTCACCAATTAACAACCTTCCGTCTGCACCTCGTTCGCTGGGCACTGTATCACCTGAACCGAAGTTATCCGAAGTAATCCGAAAATCAAAAGTCTCCCGCCATTTTAAATATCGAAATTAATGCTGTTAATATTATTATTTTACTATTAACAGTAGGATGGGTTTGAAGGTATTAACACCGTTCACCCTGCATATAGTCAGCGCATTCTATTTTTAAAGTGACAAATATGAGTTCAACGTTTAACATAGCGATTTAAAACCACTGTTTCCGTTGTATTTAGTGCTTTTTTCAACTTTTGCAATTCAACAAGTTGTGGACGTGATTGTCAGCTGTCGTAATTGTGGGTGCCAATGTGATAAGTGTTCTGTGATAAATAGAATCAATATTAGAGATCAGTTTTTTTTTCCATCAAAGACTACAGGGGCCGGGAAGGAAAGTTGTAAATAGGACTGAAGAGATCAGTAACGGTATGAGTTGTATAAGCTGAATTAGATTTAGGTAGGTTGGGTTCTTGGTTAAAGATTTGAAACTGAAACCCCCCCAATTATATAGCAGGCCTGTGACTCACTGCATCATGTATTTGGTATATAAAGTCTATTACAAGAAAAACCAGGAGTTAGGACAGGCTAAGTTGGTCCTACTGAAGCTATCACAGTGTGCAGTTACTAAGAGTGATGCTCTATGTTGCAGTACAATCGCACAGGCAAGGGTTGTCAGTGCAATCAAGCCATCATGCTGATTACTGATGGTCCACCATACGATTACTATGAGATCTTCAAGCAGTACAATTTACCACACACTCCTATCCGAGTTTTTACATACCTTATCGGACGGGACTCGTCCAATGCAGAAGAGATGAACAAGATAGCCTGTACCAATAAAGGTAAGCTTTAGACAAAAAAATTAAGGACAGATGGAAAGAATGTTAAGGTTAAAAGCAGAATTTATGTAATGGCCATGTAGTCTGCTCAGGATATTTGTACCATGAAGACAGAAGTAGTTTGTGCTGGATTACATGGCAACACTTCATAGGAGACTATGAAAATATTTGTTTCTCATTTCATAATAATTAATTAATTATTTCATAAATATGAAAATTTACCTAGAACATTGGTTTTTATTGTGTAGTGTCCAGTATTTTTGTGTCCTGTTGTAGTGCATTCCTTTGAATTGAATATTTCAGGTTACTATGTCCGTGTCAGTAGCACTTCGGAAGCAAGAGAAAAAGTGCTGAACTACATATCAGTGATGGCTCGCCCCATGGTCATGTATCAGAATGATCACCCCATCCAGTGGACTCCTGTGTATGCTGGAGGCAAGGTGTGACATTTAATACTATAGTAAATTTAAGAGCTATAAATAATTTTATGGTTGTGTATTCATGATTATAAGTCATTTCATTGAGACTTCAGTAGATGGCATTGGATCACATGAGCACATTACTGCCATCTAGATTAAGTACAAAAAACTACAAGAGAAATGTAGAAGTACATATTGAAACAGTCACTCTTTAATAATTAATTTTGTTAATATTGTTGATGAGAAGTTTGTCATGAATATTAAATGCACTATGCTTGAATATTCTCAAAGGTCCCATTTCCAACTGATTCACCGGCCAACAATACATGAGTTACAGTGACTGGTAGGAGATAAATGGACATATAAAAGAGAAATTCTAGAAAAATAAAAAAATTACAGGTTTGTGTATTATAATTTTTCAAGGAACCAGGTCATGGTTTGATAAATTTTGGGAATCACTGGTCAAAGAAATAAAGCAAGTTGCTGATGTCAAAATCATCTCATTGTGAACACAGGATAAATACTAAATTGTAATTATGTTTAAACCATTCACTTTATAATTTGTATTATTTTTAGGCTCTTATTTAAATTTTTTTCAACCTTATGCTGCTACGTAACCATTGTATGAATTAGCATCTGTCATGTGTGTACTTATAATTTCAGGGCAACTACCTTCAGAGTAACGGCGGTGGAAATCTGGACGGTCAGTTAATGACCTCGGTTTCAACACCCGTCTTTGACCGCAGAAATTACTCTGTAAGTGTAAAGAGTAACATACTTTATATTCCATCTCCGATAATTTTTTATTGGCAGCAGAAATTGAATTTGTAATGATATATTTCTATTGCTGGGTTGTAGTATCATGTTGTGGTGAGAGACTGTTTTCTGGCGCTTTTTGGAATCTTACTAGAGACCTTTAAATTAATGTTAAGTTCTCCAAAATTTCACCAAAAATATCCTACCACCATGCAGTGTCATCAATTGAGAATGGAAACAATAGTTACTAAGAAGTGTGAACATTTCTATAACATTTTTCTGTCCCTTCACACCAGTGTCTAGAGACTTCCGAGTCTCTGTTGCTCGGCTGATGTCCTTGTTATATAACCCCTTTGCACGGACCAAGTAGAAAATGTTTCCATCAGTTCCTTAATTGCTGTAGTTCAACTGTTGTTTGTTAAGAATCTGCTGCCTAGCAACAGCTGCGGTATTGTTTGTATCACGGTTGTTGCCTAGAAACAGGTCTATACGCCACATTATGATCACTACTCATGAGCACCTTTTGAGTGCACTTCCAAAATTCATATTTTATTTTTGCATAAAGTTGATTGAAATAACTGACTCTTTGGGGACGTGATGCCATGTAGCCTGGTAGAAATTCACATTTTGGAGGAACACCCTGCTTCCGTGTTCAGGGTAAGAGAGGAAACCAAACAGTATGTTCCTCCAAAATGATGTTGGACTTCTACCAGACTACACAGCATCACAATCCAGAAGACAGTACTCTTCATGATGACACCCGTGATAGCCTCAAAAGTAACTTTAGTAATTGTTACTTTAAATTATCTTGGGTCTGATCTCCAGCTTAAAATTTATGCCTGGGGAGAAGATTGTCACTGAGATTTGAAGTCACTAACTCCATGGCAGAGATTCTGTCTTTTAAAAGTTGATGGTGTTTCAGCTGATGGAGAAATTCCTTGCCTGTTTGGAATCCCATTTTTCCATTATTGAGTTTTGAATATCCCATTTTTAGGCATCTGGAATCAACTGAATCCAGTTTACACCCTCATGTCCTGTTTCTCTATGATCCATTTTAACATTTTTCTTCTGTCTTTATTTAGATCTCATGCTTGAACTCTCTCCTTGATGTTCTCAAACTGAAATTTTATTTCTTACCATCTCTCCAGTGTCTACGTGTCTTACCCACTTCAACCTCCTTATTTTGCCGGTCCTAATATTAATAGAAAAGTAAAAGTTGTGAATGAAGCGCCTTGTTATGTAATTTTGTCCAAGAGCCTGTTACTTCCTCCCTCATAAGTCCAGGTTTTCTCTTCAGCACTCTCAATTCATGTTCTTCCCTTAGACAAGAGATCAAACAGAAGGATCTGTCTTGTATTTCATTCAAGTTGAAACTGAGAACCTGCCAGGGATCCTGAACGGTTCTGCAGTACACAGTCTGGTAATGACTAGCCTCATGCATATTTGTTATGTTATATATAACATTGTCCAGACTGTGGGTTTCCTCTTCAGTAGGTTGAAATTAGTTTCTGTTTCTTGTGTGCAGGTTAGGGTTGCCAACCTGCTTGGTGTGGTTGGTACCGATGTTCCTATACAGCAGATCCAGAAATTGGTCCAACCATACAAGGTAAGTATCAGTTATATTTAAAGAATTTCATTTGCCATGACAGTGCTAAAAATAACCCAAGATAGTATCATCTCACATATCTACCTACAGTGAAATGTCATCTTACACAAACGTACATAGAAATTTCTCAGTGTGGAGAGTGAATATTTGAAGTTTTCCCTATTCTGCTACATCTCTTTCTCCCCTCTTCTCCCCCTCATTCTTCCTTCTTCTCCTCTTCCCTCTATAATAATTTTACTAAGGGGTGACCAACTCCTGTGTGTATTGTTTTCAGCCCACAATTTCTGTTTCTTGCTCATCTGTGATTTTCTCTGTCTTTATTACCATCAGTCACATGGCTCCTTTCTTCTTGATTCTCTACAAGCCTTTGTGTCCACTCATTACATTTTTATTTCATAACCTTAAAAATGTCTATGTGTTTTACCAGTGTGATCCCTCCTGAGGCTTGTTGCACATCACCATAAACTACTGGCCTGATGAGTCCCTCATGTCTCCTCCGGACCCATGACAAAATATCCAAACCATTGTCACATCTGCCATGCTTTATCCTCTCTGACGTTCCCCTAGTTCCGACTTTCATTCTTATCCCTGACACAGGTTCTGAATTTTTAGGGAGTTCTCATTAAGGACTGATAATAGATCATTTTAAATTAGTCTCTCAGTCTTGTTGCTTGAAACACGTTTATTTACTCATAATGTCACATTAAATACTTTGCACTCGCTATGTAAACACAACAATTTCTCACTGTTGTGAATCTGTCTGTTTTCAGCTTGGGGTGAATGGTTATTCATTTATTATAAATAACAATGGCCACATTCTGTACCACCCGGACCTCCGTCCACTGGTGAGTCTTCTTTTTACTGTTTTTGTTTTATTAATGGAAGCAATCAGTTGATTTATATCACTGTTTAATCCTTTGTGGTACATCCTTGGATGTCTCTTCCTGCCTGAGAGTTGAAATGACATTATAATTATTATATTTATCTTGTGCCTGTCTCTTCCTTTCATTTCATGCTGGAGCAGATAAGAAATTGGAATGGTCAGGTAAGTGGAAAGAGAAATTTTTCATCTCTTCATATATGCAGTAACCCATTCACCCACCTCATTGCTTGACCTCCACTTTATCACACATTTCAGTATATCTATCTCATCATGTGTATTTAGTGTAGGACCTTTAACACGCCTAAGGCGATGGAACACAGTGCAATTAAATGTCCCTTTCTACTCATAATGTCTTAAAAGATCTAGTGTAAGAATAATGATTAATTAAACTAAATTCATGAAGGTGAGCCCTTTTTGTGAAGCTGCCAGTTGTGCAGCTACTCAAGAAATTCCCAATCTTTTATGGAACCCCAAGGTTCATTACCGTGTTCACAAGAGCCCTCCACTGGTCCCTATTCTGGGCCAAATCAATCCAACCCATACCATCCCATCCTATCTCTCTAAGATCCGTTTTAATATTGTCCACCCACGTACACCTTGGTCTTCCCAGTGGTCTCTTTCCTTCTGGCTTTCCCACCAGTATCCTATATGCATTCCTCATCTCCCCCATTTGTGCTACATCCCCTTCCCACATCATCGTCCTTGACTTGATCATTCTAATTATGAGTACGAGTTATGAAGCTCCTCATTACGCAGTTTTCTCCAACCATTGATCACTTCATCTCTCTTCGGTCCAAATATTCTCCTCAGCACCCTGTTCTCAAACACCCTCGCTCTATATTCCTATCTTAACGTCAGAGATCAAGTTCCACACACATGCAGAACCACAGGCAAAATTGTATTAAGTGTAAGAATGGGAATTTAGGATAACTAAAATAATTGGTCTAATAATCTCAGGATTTAATTAATTTAGATAGTTCAGCAAAGGGCTCAAGTCCCAAATTGTATCACTTCTTCTCTTATGTTATCTTTGTTTCTGGTATCCATGCTTCACTGCTGTATTTTACTGCCAGTCTGACCAATATATCGTATAGTTTCAAGTGGTTACTCCTGCTCCAAATTTTATTTTGGGAGTACAGTGTGTTGTGAAAATTAACTGCATCATAATACTCTACCTGTTTCTGAAGAATGTCTTATGATACAGTTCCAGGAGACTCTGAAGCCTAACTATAACAGTGTGGATCTGACAGAGGTTGAACTGGTCGATATGGAAGGAGGTCCGAGGGAAAACAACACCTTTCTGCTGGATGTAGGTGTGACATAATATGTATAGTCTATTACCCTGCTCTGTTGCATCTTTTGGCTTAGTACAGAAACATGTATGTCCACATATTTAGAAGGCTGTTAGCATCTAAGGCTATTTGCCTCTGTGGAGAATAGAAATATTTCACATCTTATGCTCTACAAGGGACCAAATTGAAGGAACATGAGGTTCCCAATTTATGAGTCTGAGTTGAATTGCTATTTAAAGACCATAAACAACAACATGTGACATGTTGACTTGATGGAGTTGACATCCTCTATACCACAAAAACTAAGTGCCAATGTGATGATTGCTGTGTATTCTTGTGGTGTATTAGTGTTTCACACTAAATTACATCCCAATTCTTGTACTGACATTATCTAAAAGTTGTATGAACATTGTTAACAATATTTAGTCATGTTATTTCATTATATGGGGGCACGCGGCAGAGTAGTTGGTTGAGGGACTATGCTACAAGCTGGAAGTTCTCTAGTTCAAGTCCCAATGAGGTCATCAGATTTTTTTTCAGTTGACCTAATCCTTCCAGCCACACTAGGACCTGGGGTTTACTCAGCCTCTAACAGAAATGAGTACCAGGAATTAATTAAATAATTTTCCTGGGGAGTAAAGCGCGGCCGGTGCGTAAGACTGATAACCATACCGCCATCTTTGAGCTGATTGTCTAGATAGTGTGGGACCCTCAACGTCTCACAACCCTATGGGCCTTCACGGCCTGGTACAGGGATAGCTTTACTTTTTTACTTACTTATGTCATTATATGATACTACATAATTCATTTTATTTGCACAAAAAGTCTGAAGATTGCCCAAATCTAGTGTCCACGCAATATCTGCTGCTTGCCTTTCCATAGTTCTCACTTGGAGATTTACATTCAGAATTGAAACTTAAGTACAGTGAATACTGGACGGATATTAAGCATTTATCCAGGAAGTGAATTATGCTGAAATAATGTTGTTTGTTTTATTCCACAGCTACGCCACGACATGATAGATCAAAAGGAGGGTGAAACAGAACTGAGTGTGAAAGTTCACTATGATGATATGGTGAGTTTGATCATCATATGATTATTTATAACAGCTGATTTCCAACTGCACCAGAAACTTAGTCATGAACTTATGCCATGGGAGAAGTGTGGGTCAATGTATGGGATATGAAAGAGGTTTCGTCTGAAGTGATTAGGCTATGGATATTAAAAGTCGTAAAAACAGCAGTTCTTTGTATACTTCCGCTACAAAGTAAACTAATTACTTAAGTGGCTCCATGTAGCAGAGTCATTTTTGAGAAGCTGATAGTTGCTGTCATAGTCACGGTATTTCCAGCATTTTATGGAACTTGAAGGTTCTTACCATGTTCAGAAGAGCTCACTGTCATTAGTCCCTATTCTGATTGAACTGAATATAATCTACAACTCTCACATCTCATTTCTTAAGATCCAGTTTAATATCCGAGTTTCTCTTCCAAGGTTTTTTAAGTCATCTATTTCCTTCAGGTTTTTCTACAAAAATTATGTGTGAATTTTTCCTCTTCCATGCATGCTACGTGTTACACTTCCTGTTACCTTACATGTCCACCTGTAGCTCGTAATGGTCAGTTCTGCCACTTGTTTTTCTGCCTCTACCTTCCCTCTTGAAAGAAACTTTTCAAGGCCATCACTTCTCTTCTTCTTCCTCCTATTGGTTCTCTCTGTGCTCGTTCTACCAAACTATAGGTGAATGTCTACTTGAATGTGTTATGCTTCTTAGTTGTGTGGAAATTGCAGCTCATTTGGTTAGTGATATGCTAATGGTTGTCATATTTCTTCATTTCCCTACAGAAAAGAGTGACAACTCGAAGACACAAGTACTTCTACAATGCAATAGAAGGAACTCCATTCTCTCTAGGTCTAGCTATACCTGAGGGCTATGGCATGTATGAGGTTTTAGGCGAGCAGGAAATTAAACACAGTCATATAAATGGTACGTAATCATACCACGCATTTGATAGGGATTAGAACCTCAAATTAAGTTTCTATAAAAGGCTTTATTTTTATTTTTGTAACTCTTAAATTGGTGTGAGACTTAGTCTGTTGGTACTGAAGACATAAACAGCCCATGGTACCAGCTCCAGATGATAGATGAGAAAAATGGGGTATTTAATGAATGGAAATTGGCAAGGGAAACCAAAATACTGGGAGAATCCCTGCCACAATACTTCACTGTCCACCACAAATCTTACGTGAACAGACATGGGCTTGAACCCAAGCTGCTGTGGTGACTGACTACCTGAGCTGTGGCTGCAATAAGTTATCTGTATTTTACTGTCACAACACAGCAGTCAGTGGTGTATGCATACTTTATTTAAGTCCTGTACAATGATTCGTATTTCAGCTAAATATTTCTACCTTCGCGGGTCATAATATTGCAAGTTAAACTCTTCTGTTTTTCAACCAGTTGGCTTATTATTTGTTTTTTTTTTTGTTT